CGGGGGTCCGAGTCCCGCAGAGAAAATTCCGCCGACATTCGGCGTTCATCGCCGGAGCTACGAGATGACGTCTGCCGAATGCAATTATCCTGCGTTCCTTCATGGAGATTGACACACAGTACGGAGGACGTTCAAGATGGACGATAATTCCGACTCAATCCCCGAGCTTCCAGACCGCCAGATGGAGCTCAATCCGAATCGCAGCGAAGAGGTGAGCGCCAAGTCATCGCTTCTGGCGAGTCTGCGAAAGCGCGACGGCGGCGACTCAGGAGCAGAAGAGCACCTGAGGGCACAACTCCGTTTGCTCGGATAGATAGATTGTCGGATGGATGGATGTATGTATGCCTAGCTCGCTCACTTGTCCGCTCGCTCGATGGGATTAGCGCGAACGAAGCCAGCGAAGACGGGGACGATCGCGGTAGTCAAATCATTTTTCAGAAGCGGGTTCAGGGGTGAAAGCGGTGGTGGCGGCGGCGGTTGCGGCGGCGGTTGCGGCAGCAAGGCGGCTACAACACCACCAGCAGTAGAGGAAGAGAAAGGAGGAGGAGGAGGTTGATTTTGGCTTATTGCCATGTGACGAGTCCATCTGGGGCGCCCCAACTGTGAACCCCACACCAGTTCGCTCACTTGGCGGCCTATTTGGTTGCTTGGCATGATTTCGTCGGCTGCTCTCGCTTGCTGGCTGGTTGCCTGGCTCGACGACTATCGAATGCTCCGTCGGAAGGACACCGCTCTTGTGACGCCATTCCGGTGTCCCGGGTTGACCCTCGTCCGTAGATCGACTTCATGCTCGCGAAATTTCGAAATTTCGAGGGGTGTCGCGCAAAACATCGGCGCGCGCAGAGGGAGGCGGCTCGCCGATGAGAGTGTTTATGGGGCATCTCAAACCGTCGGAGCCCATGCAGCTGATCAAATTCTGCAGTCCACAGACGAAGATAGAGATCTTATGACAACGGATGATCTCAGCAGCGTTCAGGAAGAATCGCGTCACTTGAAACGTCGTTCGCTCCATTCCATCCCGTAGAACTCCGACCGGAGACTCGCGTCTCCAAGAGAAGTTTCCAGACGGAAAACTCTCTTCAGAAAACCCGTGACGGATGTTCTCGACGGAAATTTCGGACGGAAATTCCTGACTGAAGTCCCGTACGGAGCATACTTTTTGACCGGAATTCACGACTGAAGCTCAGGATGCTCGAATGAACTCCTTAAGAAGGATTTCACAGCCAAAGGCATCCAGCCCTTCAAGGAGCGATAGTTTCCCCGAGAGGAATAATTCTCAGTCAGCGAAGGAGATAAGGCAAAGGCTCGGCTGCCGAGAGGATTCCACGAATAATTGAGCTCTCAGATGGTTTTCGACTACGATCATGGTGATCTCATTCAGAATTCGGGAAGACGGAGGAGAACTCTGTTCCAGAACGAGCCCTCGCTGATTTGTATCACTACCACGGTAGTTAGTCAGCTCTATGCTACTATGTGAGAACCTTCGGTGCGGAAGCGTTGTTTTTTCTCGTTGTTCCATTCTCACACGGCGACGTCGACACGCTCACAGCAAAAACAATTAGACTGTAATGACACCATGCAGATGTCCACGTTGTCGCCGCTGTCTTCGAAACAAAAAGGGACTCTCCATATATGCGAGAGCGTTGCTAACGGATTATCCCACATGAGCAACGGATTATTCTACATCAGCTTCGATACAACGTGAGAAACAGCCAGAGAACTGCACCTTATGCAGCTCAGGGCTCGCGGCAGGGGGAGCAGCCAATCCTTCTATTCCGTGCTCAAAACTATCGTCAACTTGTGCGACGCTTCGAAGCTCGTCAATATTGATTTCTCCCTCATACCCCGTGAAGTTCCACCATCGTAATCAGCTGGATATGATCTTCGAGGGACCTCGTGCGGTCGGAGGCGCACGTCAAAGTCGGAGCGAACCCGATTTCGACTTTTTTATTCGGATTCCGATTCCATGGAATTTTTCCGCTGCTTCACCGAACATGTCCCAGTGATCTTCTTCTCCGAAAATCGAGCAGAGTTTGCGCCATTCCACTGGCCATATCAGTGGAAGCCATGAATACATTATCGTTATCAGCGCGGAGTCTCTCGAAGTTATCGATCGATCGATCGCTAACGATTCGATGGGAGGTCTATTAGCATTTTATAGAGCGAACTACCCGAGCAGCGGCATTAGAAGATGAACTTTTGCCTTCATCCAATGACCTCAAACGCAGAAAAGGTCGCCAGGCCAATCGGATGAAACCGCGTCAGTTCTAAAATCCTTCGGAGCTCCTCCGGACCGCGCTTGTCGTTTCCTTCGCAGCCGCCGCTGCCGTTGTTTTTGGGTCTCGTGCTCACGGCTGAAGGGAAAATATTTCGAACGACAAACTTCGAGTGAGCTCGCTGGCTATCAGGCACCAAGTAAGCGAGTCGCTCGTCGAGTTCGCCTCCGACGTTGTTGACGTCGCTTGGAATGTCCGTTCGTGTGGATTTTAATTACGGGGCGATATTTGTGCCGTCGCTACAAGACGGCGGCTACGTTGTGCATCGGTGGACGACACAACATCTTCTCCAACGACAGTTCGCTCGCCAAATGGTTCCAGATGCGCCGCCGTCACAACCCTGAGTCGTTTTGGCAACGTCTTTAGCCTCTGACGGTTGTTCCATCGGTATGTTGGCGGATCGCTCTTTTCCTCTTGCCGTTGGTATGATGGTTTTGTCAGAGCGTTCGTAACGATTTCATATCAAAAATCAATCTCTCGGCTCCCGGTTCGGCTCGCGTGATCTGCGGCCGCGAGCCACTCCGGAACTCTGAATTCTCCGGTGAATGCGATCGGTTTCGAGTCGCGGAATTCCTGCGGGCCGACCAGCTGAGCCAGCCTATCGAATGTTCGTTTCCAAATCTTCAAACTTCCGACGTCATCGGAGCTTGCCCCCCCCCCTCCTCCCGTCGCACAGATCCAGAAAATTCAGAATTCAACTGACCGACGCTTGGGGAATGATTTTGTGAATCCCGGCGGTCTACGTAACGTAGAGTTCGCTGATGCTCGTAGATTTCTTTGCATTTCCTAAACTGGAAATCATCTTCAGTGGGTCGTCGCTGCCGTCGATGGCAGCGGCCGGCTGCGCCGGGCCATCCGGCGGAATCTGCCTGTGATCACAATGAGAGTTCGATGAACCGACTTCTTCAGCGTGATGCCAAATTGCGCCAGAGATGAAGCCGACTGGCTCCTTCGTTCGTTCGTCCGCTGGCTGGCCGTCGAGCGGGGTAAGAGGAAAACGAAAGATTGTGAAAAAGAAGACCTTCTGGACTTTTGGAAGCAAATACCCGCTCCATATTCTTGACGGCGCGAGCGAAAAACATCTTCGACCCATATCACACGCGATATCACGGGAATCGGCGTGTAGGAGATTCATCTACCCGAACTGTGTAAATATCTCCCAGTCAATCGACCGAGCAGCCAATTTCGAACAGCGGGCCGTTCAGTCGACAGCATTCTGCCCCTTATGGTCGCGTGGTGGTGGCGATCTTGTTGCCACTGATGATGTTTTTGTCGGCAGGACAGCTGTCACGGATCTTCTTCTTCGGAAACCATTGACCGGTAGAGGGACCGACCACCAATGTTTTTTCGACGCTTTCCTCGGAGGCAGCAGCCAGCGGGAAGAGAGCGTTTGTTCCGCGTAAACGGTTTCTGCTGTGTCCGAACACTGCATCGTTCTCGATGATTCCGACCCGCGCCGGCGCTTTCGACGACGGATTATGACGGCTACTGTTATCCCAGATTTTTTCGGATTTTTTCTGTCAGACTTACGCTGGTAGCCCGCTCATGTCAATGCCCGAGACGGCGACGAGCCCGAAGAAACGCCGACTCGATCGATAGTGTCCGAGATTAAAAGTGCTTCTGCCTGCGCTGCTTCCATGATACTCGGCGGATGAATTTGCAAAAAGCAGCTCCAGGGAGGCGACACCCACTCTTGCGGTAGCAACGTCCGGAGTCATACTCTAGCATGTCGTTGTTTTTTCTTCTTGTATTTTCGTCGCTTCTCTTCATGATTGTGTCGTGTGCGCTCCTTCAATCTTATTCTGGCTCTCATTTGTTGGTGTTGTTTGCTGCTTTGCGGAGCCGTCGATCCATCTCTCTGCCGAAGATGATCTTCATCTCTGGGAACCCAGTGGTATTCGCTCGTCGCTTCGCTTGTTCATCTGGCCCAGAATTGGTCAGCAGAGTCGCCGTCGTCATCGTCGCAGCCGGCGCCGATGTCGGTAACGAAATTCGCCAGTCCGCACGCCACACCTGTAGAAAATATATCCGGAATAGAATTGAGTTTGAAAGCGGACGACTGAGCAGAGGAGAAGAATATGGAAAACTCATCGGAGTGTGACAAATCGATATGTTGAAGCGAAAGAAGACCGTGGAAATCACCATAATTTCCATACGGTCGACGAGACTACCGGGCTGTGATCTAGTTTTCCGACGGTGACGGCAAGAGTCCGAAATCAACTCCAACGAAACCGCGGGCATATCGGTCTTGAGTGGGGTGAACTCCGGGATGAACGAGAGCTCCTCCAACGGGGGGAAAGCTCTGCATCTCGGAGCGGGGAAAAAATTGTCGTACATTCCGCAATCGGATTGCGATCGTCGTGATTGTTTCGCTGCTGAAGTTCAGCACTTTGTCAAGCGGCCACGCACTTTCGTCTGCGAGCGTTTGCTCGTCGTTTAGGTATCAGACTTCGATTTGTCGAAACTTCTCTCACGGCATGGTTAACGGTAGCCCCAGCAGCGGGTGACCAAGTCTCTCACGCCACCTGGCGGAATCGCCGCGAAGCTTCATCGGCATCTTAGTATCACGGCTTTATTTCAGGGCCTCATGGAGGCAAGCGACCCTAGTCCCCATCGGACGTGACAGGCCCTTTGGCTTGAAGAAAAAATACAGAGAAAAAAGCCCTCGAGTCGTCGAGGTCTCCACCCTGCAAGGGGGCGGTCTCTTGCAATATGCGTGCAATCATGCAACTCGGTCGAACTGTGATAACATTATCGTTGCTGGTGCTCTCCTGCCAGCCCAGCAACACCAGATTGTCGCCGTACGATCGTTACAGCGACGGAGGCGAAGTCCACCTATCTCGAGATCCGGATCTTGATTTCAAGAAGGGGAAGAGTGAGTATGCACACTAACAGGGTCGGTCCCCGACACCACAGCAAGCACATGGAGGGGTAGAACGAGCATTGAAAAACATGAAACGACCTAAACAGAAGTGAAACACTTGTTCAACTTGAGGCCAGAAGGACATGCGACGGTCAGCTGGTGACGCTTATGCATATGCATATATTGAACATTCAGCTCACACTCCTGAAACATGAATGAAATCACAAGAGTTTATGAATGAATCGCACACATCGGGAACAAATCACGAAATCCAGGTGACGCTGGAATCGGCTCTGATTTATTCTGCTCGGATTTCGTGAATCACTACATGCAGAAATCTTTCACGCTGAGATGAGCGAGGAAAACGGAACAGATGGACCACAAACAAACAGAGACACACTTGAAAGCCAGAAGCGAGAATGAGACACGATTAGAGAGTACATGAAAATCCGAACTGACAGCTGTAGAGATGCTTCCTAACGTCGTCGACATCTTCGTAGGTACCTAGCCTCGCATAGATAGTTCCTCGGATCGCTGTCATCCAAGTGGCTCTGAGTGCTGTTTTCGATAGACGGTCAGCAAATATCTCTTAAGAATCTCTACCGACTGATTTTGCGGCGCAGGGCCCGCTGCCAGAAAGGTCCATCTTTTCTCTCTTCCGACCACTTGGAACGCCGGCCACTAGGACTTGGGTTAATGCTTATCAGCTAACAAACACGGCAGTATTTTCTCCCGGCGTTCGTACATATCGGTAGATTTTGAAGATATCCGTCGCAGGAATATCTCGATCCACAATCTCCAATCGAGTGGGTTCCGCCGCGCGCTCACTGCGTCTGAACAAAGTCTTCTTTTTCTTTTCTCCCATTGCTTGCTCCGCTGATTTTCTGGTCGGTCCAACTCTATCTCAAGTCGGTCATCGTTGTTAAACGTCTTGATATCAAACTTGCATTTTGTCTGACGTCTTCTTGTTCGATCATCGAAGATTCCGAGGAATTGCATTCCAGCAGGCTGACTCATGAAAAATCAAAAAACGAACGATCGCAGTGAGCGATGGGAACCCATCTAGCAATTTCGGCCGAGTAGATAAGTTTGTCACTCCGAATGGCCGTTTTCTGAATCTAAAACAGCGAAACCTTCGGCTGGGGCGGATTCCTGCATTGATTAACCAATTATCGCCGTTATTCCGATGCCACATTGAGCAGATGACCGAAAATCCGACAGAGAGGAGGCCTCCTCTAATGCTTCCTTCCTTGCATGCTTATGGTCGACGGCGAGGAAAGCTGAAATAAAAATCGATCGCGACCCCGTTGCCTGGCACGCTTTATTAAAACATTTTTCCCTTCACAGTATGCATCGGAACGTCGGGGCGAATGTCCGTGCCCTCGAATCGAGACCACCATTATCAAAACCTCCGGGATCGATACACGAACTGCACCTACGTCGATGGAAACCTCGAACTTACGTGGCTCCAGGTGAATAATTTTTCCCATCCCCTATAATCGAGAACAGCTCTTGATGGAGATTTCCGACCTCTAGGAGGATCTCCTCCTCCAGCCGCGTTGCCAACTAACGTCCATCGATCGCTTTCAGAGCGAATCGTTCGACCTGGACTTCCTCCGTGATATCCGTGAAGTCACAGGCTACGTTCTCATCTCCCACGTCGATGTTCAGAAGATCGTTCTTCCGTCGCTGATGATAATCAGAGGACGATCCCTGTTCAAGCTGAACACCGGTGAAGATCAATACGCTCTCATCGTCACCCTGTCCAAGATGGAGAACCTCGAGATGCCGGCCTTGCGCGATATTCTGCGCGGCTCGGTCGGTTTCTACAACAACTACAATCTGTGTCATATGAAGGACATACACTGGGAGGAAATTCTCAGCGGTTATCCTTTCAAAATGAATTACTTCTACGAGTTCACCCATCCCGAGCGCGAATGTCCCGCCTGCGATGTCTCCTGCAAGGGTGGATGCTGGGGCGAAGGCGCTCACAATTGCCAAAAATTCTCAAAAGTCAACTGCTCGCCCCAGTGTCATCAAGGTCGCTGTTTCGGACCGAACCCTCGTGAATGCTGTCACCTCTTCTGCGCCGGAGGGTGTGTCGGACCCAAACAGTCGGATTGCTTGGCGTGCCAGAATTTCTACGACGACGGGGTGTGCAAGCAGGAGTGCCCTCCGATGGTCCGTTACAATCCAATCACCTACTCATGGGAAAACAATCCAGAAGGAAAATACGCCTACGGTGCTACGTGTGTGAAAGACTGTCCGGAGCATCTCATCAAAGACACGGGTGCCTGTGTCAGAAGTTGTCCGCCCGGCAAGAAAGCCGTAAACCGTGAATGCGTCGCCTGCGACGGACCGTGTCCGAAGAGTAAGTACCGGGATGGACTTCACGGAGACCTCTCAAGCGTCGGATCCGATCGAGTCGATATCCGACTCTGGAAGCTCATTCGCTCCGGATCTGGTTTTCAATCGAGTATTCATTTCCAGGCTGCCGAGGAATGCAAATCATCGATTCCGGGAACATCGATCAGTTCAAAGACTGCACAATCATCGAGGGATCGCTCACGATCCTCGATCAGACCTTCGCCGGGTATCAGGAAATTTACACGAAGTAAGACCGGAGCTCAGGGATTCCGGGTCTCTATGGGAATGCTCGATCCTCGAAGTCTTTCCCCCTCATGCCCCCTCTCCGATATTGATGGCGTCAATTTCTATTTCAGTTTCACCTTCGGATCTCTGTACGCGGCCATGGATCCCAGCAGGCTCGAAGTGTTCAGCACGTTGAAAGAAATTACCGGACACATCAACATCCAGGCCTACCATGAGAATTTCACGTCGCTACATTACTTCCGTAACCTCGAAGTAATCGGAGGACGGGACCTGACCGAATATTTCTCGGCGCTGTACATCGTGAAAACCTCGCTCAAATCACTCAATCTGCGTAGTTTGAAGCGAATCGAATCGGGTGGCATCGCCATTCTCGAGAACAAAGACCTCTGTTTCGTCGACACGACAGACTGGGAACAAGTTATGAAGTCGCAAAAGCGAACTGCACTGCTACAAGGAAACGCCAACAGCACAACGTGCAAAGCCAATGGTCTGGTCTGCCACCCGCAGTGCTCGACCAGCGGCTGCTGGGGTCCGGACCCATCGGAATGCCTCAGCTGCAGGTCCTACCGGCTGGAAGACACGTGTGTCGACCGCTGTGATTCTCGTCAGAACATTTACGATGCCGGCAACAGCCTGTGCAAACGATGCCACAGCGAATGCGAGGGGCCTTGTACCGGACCCGGGGCCGACAATTGTGCCAAGTGCAAAAACGTGCGCGACGGTCCGTACTGCGTCAACAAGTGTCCGATAGCGAAGTACCGTCAGGATGAGGAGTGTCTGCCGTGCCACGAGAACTGCATCGACGGATGCACGGGTCCCGACAACACGATCGGGCCGCACGCGTGCAATTCGTGCGAAAAAGCCATCGTGAGCGCGAATAACCCGAACGTACTGGAACAGTGCCTCAGATCGGACGAAATCTGTCCCGAGGGATACTACAACGAGTACGTCCATCCTCAAGAGGAGGGCGTGTTCAAATCGTTGACGGGCAAACAAGTCTGTCGTAAGTGCCATCCCCGATGCAAGAACTGCACCTCATTCGGAATTCACGTCGCCGTATGCGAGTGCCTGCTGTACAGCAGCGGCGAGCAGTGCGAGGATCAGTGTCCTCGAGATCATTACTCCGACGACAAGAATCGTTCCTGCAAAATGTGTCATAACGAGTGCCGAGGCTGCACGGGGCCGTTGCCGAGCGATTGTTTGAGCTGCCGCAATTTCCGCGTGTACACAAACGCCAACGAGACCACGTTCAACTGCACGTCGTTCTGTCCGGCCGAAAAGCCGTACAAGGTCTACGACTCGTCGGACCGGGAGCCGTCGTGCTCCGAGATCGATCCGAATACCGCGCACGCGCCCCTAGGCAGCGGAGAAGAGGACCTGAACCCTTTGTTGAGAGCCTCGATATTCCTCGTGGTGGCCCTGGTGATCATCATAGGTATCGCTATCGTGATGTACCGATGCTTCCAGACGGCTAGAAACAAAGAGAATAGCGTCAAGATGGCCCTGCGTATGACCGGCATCGAAGACGAACCCTTGAAACCGTCGAACATCAAGCCCAACCTCGCCCAGCTGCGCATCGTCAAGGAGGCGGAGCTGCGAAAAGGCGGAAGGATCCTCGGTCGCGGAGCCTTCGGTACCGTGTACAAGGGCGTATGGGTCCCGCAAAACGAAAACGTCAAAATACCGGTCGCCATCAAGGTCCTCCGGGAAGGAACTCAACCGAACACCAACAAGGAGTTCCTCGAGGAGGCCTACATCATGGCCAGCGTGGACCATCCGAACGTCCTGAAACTGCTGGCCGTCTGCATGACCTCTCAACTGATGCTCGTCACTCAGCTGATGCCTCTCGGCTGTCTCCTCGACTACGTGAAGAACAACAAAGATAAAATCGGCTCCAAACCCCTACTGAACTGGTGCACGCAAATCGCTCGCGGTATGATGTATCTGGAAGAAAAACGCATGGTGCACAGAGATCTCGCTCTCCGTAACGTGCTGCTGCAGACTCCGGGCTGCATCAAGATCACTGATTTCGGTCTCGCCAAACTGCTCGACACCAACGAAGACGAGTACAGAGCCGAGGGCGGGAAGATGCCCATCAAGTGGCTGGCGCTCGAGTGCATTCAGCACCGAATTTTCACCCCGAAATCCGACGTCTGGTCGTTCGGAGTCACCATCTGGGAACTGCTCACCTACGGACAGCGGCCGTACGATCCGCTCAGCGCGAAGGAGGTCCCGGCTCTGCTGGAGCAAGGGGAGCGCTTGAAGCATCCTCCCATTTGCTCAACCGAAGTCTACAAGATCATGCTCCAGTGCTGGATGATCGACGCCGAGAGCCGGCCGTCGTTCGCCGAACTGGCGGAGGAGTTTGCCAAAATGTCCCGCGATCCTGGCAGGTACCTGGTGGTCAGCGGTGACAAACTGATGCGTCTGCCGAGCTACACCCCTCAGGATGAGAAGGAACTCATCAAGAACCTGTCGATGCCCATCGACGGGGAGCCGGGAGTGCTCATGGACGCTGAAGAGTATCTCCAACCAAAGCTCATGGCTCAGAACGCCATGCACGGGGCCGCCTGCGCCGGAACGAACAGCTCGACGAGTGAGCCGCCCCCGACGCCCATCAAGAAGTTCATGGACGACCGAGGCTTCGAGGGCGATCCTCGCGGACACCGGCACAGCAACGACGTGTTCGTGTTCCCAACAATGCACAACCGACGTAGTCGAGAGAACAGCCAATCGTCGTCGTTGCAATCGAATAGATTCTCTCTTCAGGACGGCGACGACGACGCCTTCCATCCTGCCACGAAACGCGCTCATTCGATGTTCATGAACAAACTCGCCGTCGACGAATGCGATTACCTTATGCCCAACAGCACTCATCCGCGGCTGTCGTCAGGCTACATGGACTTGATCGGCAATCCCGCGCAGCGCGCAATAGATAACATGGAATACCACATGATGAACAACGGTACGCCACCGCATTCGGCGGGTTTGCCACCGATGAACGGTATGATGACAGGCTTGCCGATGAACGTGGTCAATAACAACAACGGAGTCATGGGAACTCTGAATCATCCGCTACGCCAACGGCCATCCCACCCGGGCTTCATGATGGCACCGAATGGTCTTCCCGCGCAGCCTCCGATGAAGCCCGCCAGACGGAAATCCGAAGAGGAGATTTGTGCTGAAGCTGCTGCTAGAGACTATTATAACGATATGATTCGATTGCCCGAGATTAACATCAAGTCGCGGAGGACGGCCAGCACAAATAGTGAGACCACAGTATAGCGTGCGCCAATTTTTTGTGTACATATATAAAATAGCTAAACGAACGTTAAATGAGTTTGTACGAATGTTATGCGACCCCAAAGTCGGAGATAACTCTGTAATTTAGGTTGTAAATAATGAAGCACTCCTCTGGTAAATGAAAGTGAAACGATCGAACAAAATGAATCGATGAATAAATATACTGGTCAGTGATTGAGTTGCTTATTCATTTTCACTTTCTCCTTGAGACGACCGCTGGGTGGGGGCCTCAGGGTAATTGTTCGCCGGAAGTCACCCAGAGATGAGTGGCAATTCAGAAATGAAGGTTTCTGGGGACGAGAACCCGAAATGACATTCTAGGAAATAGTTCATGACTTGCGAAGAATCGTCGAGTCGACAACGTTTATTCACGAAATTCCTGTCCACGCTCCCTCAGGGAGTGAGTCGCTTGGGGTCCCTGGGGAACATAGACGTCTTCCGAATGTTGTCCAGACCCAGGTACAGCATCACAACCCGCTCGAGACCAATGCCACCGCCGGCATGGGGAGGAGCTCCGTATCTGCAATACAATAAAGATTTTAATCACGTGTCGAGAGGGGTAATTCTGGTCCACGAGCCGATTCTCGGCAGAAGTAGGTTCTGAATATATAGTATCGGATTCAGCTCGAATCACCTGAACGAATCAATGTACGACTTGATTTGGCTGACATCGATTCCGTGCTGCTTGGCTCTCTGCATCAGGAATTCGGGATCGTGGATCCTCTGAGCGCCCGATATGATCTCCTCGCCTCTCATGAACATATCGTATGAATTCGACCATTTCGTGTTCTCGGGATCGGGCATCGTGTAGAAGGGTCTCACGGCGAGAGGGAATTTGTCGAGAATGTAGAAGTCGGTGTTGTATTTCGCCTTCACCAATCGACCCAAGAGCTTCTCATTCGGAGTGCTCAGGTCTTCGTCGTCTTCCATCTCGATTCCGGCAGAGCGCAACATCTCCACTCCCTCCGAGTACTTGAGCACCAGAGATGGTTCCAGGAATTGGAAAGGCTCTGATGGATATTGCCGACGAATCGCTTCTATTTCGGCTCCGTAATTTCTCTCAAGGCCTTTGAAAATGTCGATGAACATATGACCGATCGTGTCCACAACCTCGTGATAGTGGTATTCGAAAGCCATCTCCAAGTCGAGTCCGACGAATTCGGTGAGGTGTCGATGCGTGTTCGAGTCTTCAGCGCGGAACACAGCTCCGATGGTGTAGACCTAGAAGGGAAACCCGAGGAGTAGTACGGAGAAGGATGCGGTATACGGCTGACAGATTGAAGAAGGGACTTCGTGTCCGAGCTTGCCGACCTTTCCGAAGTCAGCGGCGATGGCCATCTGCTTGTAGAGTTGGGGACTTTGCGCAAGATAGGCGCTACCTTTGAAGTAGCTCACTTCAAAGACATTTGCGCCACCCTCCGAAGCGGCAGAGATGATTTTCGGGGTGTGGATCTCTACGAAACCTTTTTTGCTCAGAGACTCTCTGAACAAGTGACACACTCCCGCCTCTAGTCGGAAAATCGCCTGGTTCGCCGGAGTTCGGAGATCGAGGATCCGATTGTCGAGTCTCGTATCTTGATTGACACGGATATTCAGAGCATCTTCTTCGTTTTTCACGACGTCGGGCCTCGCGGCGTCATCCACCTGAAGAGGCAAACGAGCTTCGCTCGCCGAGACGAGCCAAGTCTGGAGAGTCGACAGCTCGACGTCTTGCTGAGAGCACGAGTCGATCTTCGAAGGCGTTGCCATGACCTGTAAGGAATGGGAACGAATAAGAATCAGAGATATGGTCTATCAACTCGTGCTCGTCTTGGTGGTTTGAGAATTCGCATGATCGCTACCGTCTGCTCTATCTGCGACGCAGCGCTTGCGATGATCGATCCGGAGACCCAGTCAGGAAGGGAAAATTATGTACCTTGCCGCAGACGTCGATGATGCTCTCCTTTGGGATGTTCGATACGAACTTCAACATTTCCCTCGAGACATTCTCTCCGACTGCCAGAACGCATTGAATTGAGCAACAGGCCTGTCGCAATATCAGAAAACATTGCTTCCCTTTCGAACGGGACACGTGTATACGACCGCGGACCCAAACCTGGAGAACACCCAATCAGCTGGATTAGTGACTGTCAAATAATATTGCGATCACCTTGCACAAGCGACTTGATATCGACACACATGCTTAGGCAGGGGGCACACACCTCTTGTCCAACGAGCTTCGATGTACAACTGGAGATTGGCGTCAGCGTGCGTTCAAGTCTCTCAGAGGACTGGATCATCCCGTAACTACCATACTTCCCCTTTGATACATCTTCCCCGCTCGTCGCGGACTCCTGGAATGTATGCTCAAAGTATCTCCATCGATATGTCGGATGATGTGTCTCGAAGGATCTCGGTCATGGGGTAGTACGACATAACAGTGGACGTAGGGGAGGCTGAACGATTATCTCGCCAAGTTGATGGAGCTGTACTGAACCTGAGATCCTGGAGATCTCGGGAATCTCAGCGCTCGAGAGAGCTTCGTATCTTCACAACGCGTTAGTGTTCGATTCCAAAATCGATTTGACAACAACTCTGACCCGCCGAACGATTAGCTCTCCTGAGCCCCAGCGGATCGTATTTGGAGACAATTGACGAATTCCGTGCTCACTCTTTCCGCTGATGTCTCATCGTCAGACGAGGAGAGGTCTCACTGTTTATAAATGGGCCCCTCTCGAGAGTGCGCCACATGGCATTCACCGGCTCAGTCAGAATCGTCGACGAAACACAGATATTCCAGATTTATTCCCGGAATAGATACGCCAAGGATCGGAGAGAACATCCCGTCAGCAGAGACACACACCTCAATCGGTGCATCGAATAATTATACTCGGTTTCAACCACACACCTGACGATCATCCTTATTGGGATTCTGAGCTTCGCGCTCCGCTTTGTGCTGAGCTTTCCTTGCTGCTTTTTCAGCGTCCTTCTGGGCTTTCTTCAAGGCTTTCTTCGACACGGCGTCGCCTTCCGCAGCGATGTCACCCATTTTCAAACGAAATATCGCCTTCGGGAATTTCTCCGATCGAGCTTACCGCTATTGTGTATTATCTAGAGACCATATGAGGGGAGAGGAGTTTCGAACATAGAAGCTTCGCTCGCTGACTGTCGGGCCCACCCGGGAAATCTTAGGCATTCACAGCTTGAAGACGATATCGACTCTTCCGCGTCCGAATATCCTCCCTCGTATAGTAGGTTCGCTCAGAGAGATCGCGCACGTATGCAATGTGGGTCTGGTTGGGATGCTGCAAGGATGCAAATTATACTGATCGAGCTTTCCGACGGCTCAATCAGCTCAATTTGCGTACGACATGTGAGTGAACCTGTCCACCCGCTGTTTCAACCCCTTCGAATGCAGAACGGGAGCGGCTCTTTCTCGGTCTCAAGTATAAGCCTTAAACGTATCTCGTCACGGAAAATCGGCGCAATGAGTAATCTCATCCGATCGGAAACCTCCATCGCGGGCATTCTTCTAGATGATTCCAAGAGACTCCGATAGAAGTCGAATCAATATGGACTAGCTCTCAGAGTCCCTAGGAGTTGACGCCCGCTCATCCCGGATCGACTGTCTGTCGGCGTTCGAGCCGTTGTCATCGGTGAGAAGTAGTTCGAGATTTGAAACTGTGACACATCTCCCCGTCATTTATGCGTCAAACTTCTTATCGAGCACCATCCAAGCGCAACCTGCAACATAGTCAATACTTCTCGAGGAGCATCCCACAATACCGCTCGACGGCCCAGCTTTTGATGAACTTGTCCGGAAAGCATCGCTACGTCACGTAAATGGAACGAATATCTTGATCCGGGACGTCCACGTCGAGTTTCGAGGACCCATGGACCGAATTCTCTGCTAGATAGACTCGAACTGTACCATGACATGCGCAGCCCGGGAAGGAAACCCCCTAAGACCGTGGGTTCTCAGCACCTCCTCCGTCAGCTCAAGAATCCCAAATCCCACTAAATTCAAAGATTCCCGCCAGCTTACCCGAGCTCTCGCAGAGAAAGTACGGAAAGCGCATAGAAGCCTCATGGTTTGAAAAAGTTCTCCTCGATTCGATCCCTGTCTCTGATTGCTTTCCCTTTCGAGTGCAAATTGCTCACTGTCAGTCATATCGTACAATTACGTGATCGTGATTTCACTCGTAGAGTCGTTCAGCTGTCAATCATTTCTGCTCCATCGGAGGCTTCTATGGAGCTGTATCGGATGGATTCTTTGCGCCTGGAAATCAATCGCTCTTGACGTTTCTCGACTATAGATCTCGGATCCATTCCGACTGCCTCCGACACCACGGCCAACCAGTCTTTCGAATTATTGAAAGAAGCTGGATAATTGTCAAAGGGGCGAGTGACCGTCCAAAATGGCGGAAGGGCTCTCCGGCCATAACATACATAGGAGTGCTCCTCTTGCAGAGAGAGTCAGTGGTGCCTTCTGACGGTGATCCGCTAATCATTTCCCGAAGTTAGCCGAATCTCTTTCCCAAATTGATTATGACGCTAGTTGACATGCCTAGTGCCTCATGCTTTTAAAATCGCTTGCGTAGGTGAGTTGCGGACATGATTACAGCCTGAAATAAAGTCAGAAAACAGGGGTTCACCGACAGAGTCCTGTTCGGAGAAGTGAAGGCGGTCAGGTACTGCGAATCGAGAATCCTCCTGACAGCGATCGCTCCTTTGTCAACCCGCATAGCTCCTCCGTACCCCTTATGCTGTCCTTGTCTCAGCCTCCGAAATGGGGCTCCAGATGAGCTCTCGTGTGCTAGACAGCTAAGGTGTGAAAAGTTCAAAAGGATCAGCCGCTCTTTTTCTGACACTCATGTCCTTTCCCTAGAGTGGATCATTCACTGATGTGAATCTTCGAGTCTTTCTATCCCAGATGTAGAGAGTTATGCTGGTCAACCCGTCAGAGCTGGCTGGATTAGTAGAACACGGCAGGTTGCGTGGAAATTGAAGTTTCCGAAAGCTTCCCCGAAATGACTGCAGCTAACCTGCGAGAGCCAATATTTATTTGGAGCACTTAGTACACAAGCTGCTTCGTGCCAGAATCGATCAGCCCGGCTCCCGGGACGAGCTGAGAGATGCGGAGGGAAACTCTGCTGTCACATGGTTTCGTCTCGGATAAATACGACTGGTCCGCTCCCGGTGACATTTCTTCACGGCAGTAATCCGTGAAGCCATCCATATCAATGCGTTGCGAGAGCAGGATTCTTAGTGGATTTCGAATCAAGTCCGTCTTCTCGATCATGGGTGAACGTGTGAGTATGAAATGAATGCACTCGCCTGCCCATCGCGGGTGTGATCTCCGCGTGTCACCGCAAGAAGAGCTCCTCGCGGCTTGGACGCTCAGCGCGATCTCACATTATCCGAAGATATTTTCGCGGAGTGTAATCCGAATCCCCCTCGAGGAAATATCTACAACTTGTTAGCTTTTTGCGATGAAATTCCATCCCAGCTTCTAGTTTGCTTCCGGCACCATGTTCCGGAGAACTCCCGGGGGTCGAGGAATGATGTGGGGGGGAATTTTTCCGTTTGAAATGAATTTGTTTTGTGAGGCTCGTTTCGATAGTCAGTCCGACCAAACCACGTGTCAACCGAGTTGTATGGCCAGACCCTAATTTTTTTTCCCGTATTCGGGTTCAATTCGGTAGTATTCGGCCTAGCTCCCGGGCCTTCGCGCCCTGCAGACTGTCTCACTCGTTCGCATCGGATGCCTCCCTTTCTCGCAAAAGAAGACCGAAACAAGGCGTTATCAGCACGGAACCTGGTCGCTCATCTTCGTATTGATTAGACATGATGCCGGAATGATGAGAATAAGTTCGGGCGAGATAGTCTGTCAGTCATCGTCTCGCTGCCCCGATCCGGAACGAGGTGGAACCTCTACGTCGTTCGTCATGTCACGGTCACTTGCCTAGTGGCGATTGCCGATAAGCGTGGACTTTCCGCGTTTCCTCGATGATGTAATTGGATAACGTTTAACGATGTCTCCATTTTCTTTGCAGATATGCCTTCGTGGAGCCTGACCGGGCTTCCGTAGGGTGCCATGGATGGGAAGATTGCCGGCCTGTACGACCTCGGTGAGACGTTGGGTCGCGGCCACTACGCAATCGTCAAACAAGCGAAACACGTCTTCACCGGGGAGCAGGTGGCCGTCAAAGTCATTGACAAAACCAAGCTAGATCACCGGTCGGAATCACACCTTTTCCAAGTGAGTTGCGATTCCTCGCGCAAGAATCCGGTATTCCGCATGCAAATCCCCTTTCCGGGAACGAGACGGTCTGTGAATGCGTGATGCTTGCTCGTGTGCATATTTGAATTCAAGCCGATCCGATTTGACGGGAACGCGCCGCTAATCCCGCGAGACGGACGGCGCGCCCGGGAATGAGTGCCAGGACAACACCACCGCGCTCAGGAGCTCGGCGTCGTCCATCTGCTTGCTGTTCGAATTCTTGAATGCGGGAAGTTTCGGGGAATCAAGCAGAGGGGTGTAGACGGTCGGGGTCGCCTATCAGAGGGGAAATAAGTAGTAGGTAATTGGATCGGCAGCAAGTAACCGCTTTCTGGTCTACCCTCCGCTGGTCGATTGAGCCGATTCTCATTTCCTTGAGTCGCGGGAGCTCCCGCCTCATCAGAGAGGAATCTGTGCTTCAGGGAAGCTTTGATGTTATAGAGACTCGTTGATTACCTCAGCCGTTCACGATCGAGGGATCCCATATTCTGTTCCGGGACCAAATAAGCTCGTTAGGCGAGGATGATTCGTTTAGTCGAGGAATTTCGGTTGATCAAACACTACCGCCAGGAACTTCGTATACGGCAACGAGTTCTGTTCGTTAAGGTACGAGCTGCTTGCGCGGTCGACCGACCGGAATGGTCAATGGAGAGAAGTGTGGACGCGCAATCGGCGTAGCGATCACACTTCCCGCTTGGAGCGCTCTCTAGGACAGGTGGAACGATGTGAGGCCGTCCAGGTTCATGCAGCTAAGTAAGGGTAAAACTCGTCAGGTCATGGCGGAGTCAGGGTTCCTACGTGATGAGTGCTCGAGGGAGGGCGGCAGCTGGGATTGAGATCGCCCCATGATTGCTAGCGACCAAAAGAAGAGACAAGTCACCGATTCAGGCTCTTTTGGAAGCTTCGGACATTTATAATCCCTGGGAGGAGCAGTCGCAAGATATTATCCTAGGTTCTACCGAAAGCCAAGCTTCATTATTCATGATGACAAGAGCGAAAATAATTCATGAATCGATATAAATATCTCGCCGAAGCCGAGCAGAGCGGATTTCGTATCAAGTTGAACACTCTGCTTCCACGGAAGAGTCTCCACACTAACTCCGGGAACGATCGCGAGTATTCGGCGCAAGCAGGTGGACTGAGATGAGGTCCCGATGAAATTGATGGACCTAGAAACAAGGTTATTTGGGAATCGGCTCGCGCTTGGATCATGCAGCGATGCTCGGGAAAGACTTCGCAGGACAAGGGAAGGAAAAATTTGTATTCATTGCATTCCTGTAGACGAGTTCACTCCTCTCGAGCGGACATACCTAGCATCATCGTTGTCCCCATCTTCTCCTGCCGCTTGCTTGTCATCGACTGCACGATTGCGTTTGAAGAGTGCTCTACGGAACTAAAAGTTTTATCAAAGGCCTCTATAGGAGAGCGAATTCGGGTGTTTCGCGGCGGTTGTTGACGACGCTCAAGTAACTACTGTCGGATGAGCTCCGACAATGGAGTCTGATAGCGGATTCCATCAGGGAGCCCTCATAGAGTTATAAGCGAGCGGGAGTACATGCTCTCAATCCCCTCCCGCTAGCCTTGAAAACCCCCAACTGAGCAGGCTTTCCCGGCAGGGTTTCCTCATCACCCCAGAACCGATTCATTTTCAAGTGAGTGAACGAGACGACTTGTTTCTTCACGGCAGAGATCGGCTCTTCGAAGGCTTGCCCTGACAGAGATGAAAGGGACTTGCCTCTTTTGAAGCCTACGATTCGTTCGTGAAAGGCTCAGTCAGACTGGCGGTAGACAGCCAGCGATGCCGCTACTCTAGGAAACCTCGGGGAGGCCACGGTCCCGACAGGATGTGGAAAAGCATCGGTCGCTCCTTAATCCGGATAGTTGATAAATGAACACTCTCGAGAAGCTCTGATACGATTATGCTCGTGACGGGTGATCGCGCAGCCGTGGAACAGCCGATTCTCACGGATGCAGCCTGGGTTTTGTTGTTTCCGGGGGCGATCCCTCTTGGGCGCATTTCTTCCGGAGGAGCTTGAGTTCGTTGAGGCCCCTCTTGATCTTTTTCACTATCCTTCTTCTGGAATATCGTGTTTCTAATCAGTTTCTCCTGAGAGATTGAACTCGTTTAGGAATCTACGCGGTGGTAGACTTCCTGGTACTCAGCGGATCGTACGATCGTTCGACGGGGGAGACGCTCATGTCCATGACTCGATAAGCTTGGATTGTGATCGACAATCTAGCTCCGCGACAAAAATGAAAGGACTGAATTTCAACGATTGGGTTGGTTGGCGGGCGATAAAAGTCGAAGGCTAATCGACACAGTATGTCGGATGGGGATCGAATCCTCCGAGGACTCGACCCGATACGAGCTGTCGGCTGGAGGGCTCAAAAAATCGATGGATGATGATCCTTGATCACCTTGACCTTGGGATCAGGCGAAATTCAATTTAGCGAACTTCGCGAGCTGCGCGGCGAGGAATTCTCCGTCTCTCTGCAATTCTCTGCAACAGAGACCATTGACTGGGGACCCTTTGCTTGTCATTTGCCATTCATTGATCTCATATCCAACGAGAATACCCCCGGAGCCTCACTGGGCCCTGAACTTGTTTACGAGAGCAGACGTCCATCGAATGACTCAAACTCCAAGTTTTTAGATTTGCTTCGTGGTGCGAATTAAAGCCTGCAACGGGGAAAATGGAGCAGTGAGAACCCAGACGAAAGCTCATGGGAAATCTGATCCCAAGCCGCTGTTCTTTCCTGCTTGCCCGACTCGTGTTTCAGGCTCCTTTTTTGGATTCATAAATGAAGAGTATTCATACAATTTTTCAGGAAGTGCGATGTATGAAACTGGTACAACACCCCCATGTGGTAAGGTTGTACGAAGTTATCGACACCCAGACAAAACTCTACCTCATTCTCGAGTACGGAGACGGAGGTGACATGTATGATCATATCATGAAGCATGACAACGGTGAGTGTACAGAGTTCTGAAGCTTTTCCATTCCGGTGACAGTATTCCGAGCGCAGTTTCGAATTACCAGCAGGAAGTTCTTCGCATCCGATTCTTTGCCGCAGTCCGCTGCCGGGGGAAATTTTACCGCAGCGGGTCTCTCCTCGCGTTCCATGTCCCAGGCGAGGACCGCCAGATCCCTTGATTGAATAACGTCCAAGTTCCAACGCTTTTACGATGGACAGCGAAGGACGATGTTGCCCTTATCTCGAGGACGAACAAATACGCTCGATGCGACCCACTTTCTCCCACATAAACAATCGATACCTGTTCTTTCTCATGCTCCTCATTACCGATTCCCGGCGCTCGTGAGCTCGACTTGGAAACCTGCTGGAGTATTGCCCGACATCGATCGAAGCGACACATCAGGGAGAGAAATCCTCAACATTGCGTTCGTACTCCGATGAGCCCAAATATACAGCAGTTCCAGCAATTGCAGAATGGCGTAGTGACAGCCAATCCACTAGACGTGCTTGAAACGCTCCCGAGAAACGATTCGGGTACTGTGATGGTATCCCGAGCCTGTTTCGAAGCTTCTGGTGCTCGTGAAGCTTTCGGAGCTTTCCAGAGAACTCGACTGAATGCCGACGCCACCGTTCCCGCTCGGTCGCTGGAGCTGTGGGACGGACGTCGGAGACTTGCTCGATAGGGTTTTCTCATGCAGATTGACGCTTCGTCATAGCGCCGACTGCATTGATTGGAGAAATCGCGGACAAAAAAACTCCCCGCTTGAGGATTCCATTCCAGTCTTGGTTTTCAATCACAGCGGCTCTCTTGGACTCGAATGAGCGTACTCTCTCGTTTGTTTCCATTATTTTGATGCAAACTGATCCGCAGGTGGGTCGACGGAAATCGGAAGAATTTATTCGGGTGTTCAGAGCTCAAACACCTCAGGTCACTATAAAGCCTGTCCATGATAATCAAGACGCGAACGCATGATCTCTTCCACATCTGCTAGTTACGATGATCCTCCCGCGGCTAGCACGTCGCGGCAAAGCCTTGTCGTGAACTAGGTGACTGATTGATCCGATTGATATTGATTGGAAGAACACTGCGAAGCGGCAGAGGCCGCCGTCTCGAGAGAAGCTTGTTGAGTGAAAGCGTGACCGCTGCCCAAACACCACTGTAATTGCTTCGTACGACGTTTCCAGAGGGAATGCTTGGAATTCATGGTGTTCCGAGAGAGGAGTTTCTCAGATTTCTTACCAGAAGAAGGTAGATGATGTTGTTGTCAGCATGAGTCGGCGAATTTCTCCCGGACGTGAAATCCTCCCCTAGGGTTGTCCTCATTTTTCATTGCTCGCTCAAGGTCGGTGAGCATTGTCGCTCCATTGATGTCCTCGCGTCGCTCGCCTGGTGGATCTGGGCTTTTCAATTCGGAGCTCTCGAGCTTTTCGTACGTCCGTCGTGCATAGATTTGGAAAGCTCAAGCGCATTCCGGGTCTAACGCGTTGACTCCGCCGCCCACGCTTGAAGTATGCATGCAGAGGACTCGCTGATGAAGAATCAGCTCGTCAAACAGCTTAGGAATAGCCCTGATCAAAGAAGTTGGTAAGAGACCTTCTAGGTCTGTCTCGGGGAGCATCGAGTGATACGCGTCGAATGGCTAAAGGCGATGCGACGTGAAGAGTGCATTCAAAGAGGAAACGCAGGAAGAGCTCGACGATGTTGATGCAGCGCTTATAGAAGCTTTAATTTACGATGTCGCACGACTTGGATGACGGAAGAAGTCTAAGCCGAGCTTCTCGGGGAGAAATTGCCGTTGGAAGCCGAGCTCGCGGCTTTGGCGGTTTGCGTTTCCGCGATCGAAATAAGTGCGGAAGCAAAATAATGAAGCAAGCGAACCCTTGTGGAGTCGCTCATACTACACACTAATCTCTAAAAACTGTTCCGGTGGATAATGGAGCTTCATTGGTCCCGCAAGTCGGATCAGCCTCCCCAGCGGTGGTATCTGTGTCAGAGAATAGCGGGAATATTCTCGTCGCCGGAGGTTTTTCGCCCCTGCCCCGATATCTATTTTTCCCGGACGCATGTACATGATCATATGAATGTTGAGTGGACCGCTAAGTTTTCGGTGCCTTGCATTCAAAATAAATTACTGCGATACAGACTTTGAAAAATTAGATTTCGGAGCACATCGCGTCTGGCTGTAATTTCGCTCGCTCCCGAAAGATTCACCGAAGATTCCCCGTCTGGTCGCGGAATCAGACATTCATTTTCTCTGAGGAACAGTTTATATTGAGTATTTTCACCGTCTCTCCTGAAACTTCAAGAGCTCCGGAGCCGTCCCGTCGTTATCCTCTTCAAGTCTGTCTGGGAGACCGTGCCGAGGTTATATTTGGAATGCTAAGCCCGTAGCGGACCGCTGCTGGGAACGTCGCGGATCGCGCTTTACGTCGTCGACGGTCGGATCCAAAATCAGCCTTTCCAGTAGAAAGTGGAAATCACCTGGAAACTTACTGCTCACTCAGCATATTCCTTCCGCGGTTCCGCTCTGCAGGTTCCGAGCGAGTGCGGGACCCTGAATACGGCACCTGGGCTTCTTATTTCCCACGTCCCACGAGGTGCGGGCTCGGTGTCGCAGGATCATTGGAGCCGGCCCCCGCCTCTCTGACGGTCCGAATTGTTCTCACCGCTGGAAATCGCGGACTTGTCGACGCTTTTTTCCTCGATACGAATGCCGATTCTCGTGTCGACGGGTAGACATAATCTCATCCGGCCGTATTATTCAAATGAGGAAGTACCTAATTGACGAATCATCTCCTCGAAAGACCGGGATTGTGGGCCTTGCGACGGAGTTCTTTTCCTGAGTGAGCATCAGCTCGTGTGAGAGGAATAGAGCCGGAGACAAATGATGGAGAAAGAGCTATTTTGGCTCAGGTCTACCTCATGAATCGTAGCGGCTGACACGACCGTTTCTATTTTCGAGACCGTACGCGGATGTGTTACCATTGGGCATGGCCTGCGGGGTCACCGACCCCTACCCAAGCGGTACGGTCATGCTTCAATTGCACGGATTCTCTGTGCTTCAAAAGATCATGCCAGAAGCTTATCCAGGTTTTCGACTTCCCACCTTGACGAGTACACTCGCTGATCAATGAGGGAGTTTTCTGCGTGCGAAGCCCCCAGGAAAACCCGCTCTCCCAGGATCTCGATGGTCGCCGGGCCACGGGTTCCTTCTCCATGATCTTCTTTTGAGAGATATTGGAGACAAGATCTCTCCGAGTCGATCATGGAAGCGGTCCGGTGCCGAATCATAGAAGGCCGTACTCGGAGTTAAGGTCGGCCTCCTATCGAATGCTCATGTAGTTCGCGATCTACAGCAGACAAGCGGAAATCCTCCGTGGGAAGACTTCCACTGTGTAGGTTCACGCCAGGACACTGAGCTCCCGACACTCTCAACCAAGTGTCCAACTCTCCACAACAGAACAGATCGGAGAGCGGAGAGCTGATCTCACTATCAGCGGGACGAAGTCTGTTACCCAGCGAGCGAGAATCGAACTATAACACGGAATAGCACGAATGAAGTTTCTATCGATGGAATGATAACAAGGTTTTCTTTACCTTCCTTTTCAGGTCTTTCCGAAGAGCTTGCTCGGAAGTATTTCGGTCAGATCCTCTCGGCCATCATTTACTGCCATAAACTCCACGTCGTGCACAGAGATCTCAAGCCTGAAAATGTTGTATTTTTTGATAAGCTTGGCGTTGTCAAGTTGACAGATTTTGGATTCAGCAACAAATTCCTCCCGGGAGAGAAGCTAGCAACTAGCTGTGGCTCTCTCGCATACTCGGCCCCTGAAATACTCCTCGGTGATTCTTACGATGCTCCGAAAGTTGGTACGTATCCTCAACGAGACCCGGTGGAAGCGCTTCCTCGATGTCGTTCCTGAGCTGACGAATACTCGATGGGATGCGGGAGACGCCATCCGAGTGGCTGTGAGACCTATTCTTCGAATTCCCGGCTCTTGATCCGGACGTCCGTGTTCCACTCGATGAATTACGCATCGCGTCGGAACTCATGCAGGGATTTCGAGGAGCTTGTCTACTAGCTCCGCCCGACTCAGAATTTCTCGTATAGAGCATACCTCGGCGACCCGAAACATGCCCTTCACTCACAGGGGCCTTCTCCGCGAGTTTGATCAGAGCTCTGGGATCTTGGTGCGATGATGAAAGACGTGGTTGATTAAAATCATGATCCCGATGAATGAGCTCCACACTGCTCGGATTTGCAGATATTTGGAGCCTCGGGGTTCTGCTTTATATGTTGGTCGCCGGCCGGGCACCTTTCCAAGAAGCGACAGACAGCGAAACGCTCACGAGGATCATGGACTGCAAATACGAAGTTCCTCGACACGTATCAAGACAGTGCAGAGCGCTAATTGGTGAGTATCTACGTGAGGGAAGGAAAATCGAGGCATAGCCGAGTGGTCGGTGAGGACTGCTACCTCGTGGAGATTCAAATCGTGGAATCGATTATTTGTGTCTCGCGCGGCGGGTCGCTGAGTCGATTTCGGCAGCCGGATATTCTCCTCAAAAACCACCCTTGTCGCTCGAGATTCCGAACCCTTTGAGCGCATGTCGTGGTAAATTTCCGGGGGTCGGTTGATTGTCCTCCGCATTCCACTCCTCACCCCGCGGGTCCATGGGGAAAGCTTCCAACTCGTTTGAAGTTGGGGGTAGGGAAATAAATTACGTTAACCTCTTTCCGAATCAAACAGTCTCAGTTTCCGGCTGACCGATTCCATCAAACGGTCCGGTCGAGAGATCCGGATATTTTCTGCATTCCATCGGGAAAACTCGACAGAAGTGATGCTAGATTGCGGACGATACATACATTTTTCGTCATTACAGGCAGAATGCTCATCAGAAGTCCAGAGAAAAGGGCTACGTTGGAACAGATCGCTGATGATGAATGGTTGATGGGTTTCGACATAGGTGCAATGGCGGAAGCTTCCGCGCCCCTCATGAGTCGAGAACATCTGTCCGAAGAGGACCACGCGCTGATAGTTCACAAGATGGTTCAGGGGAGCATAGCCACCAAGGAACAAATCCAAGAGTGAGTTGAAGGAATGTAGAACGTTTGGAACTCAGCGAGCTTGCCTGAACGATCGTAGAGGCTGTTCGTATCTAGTGTTCATACTACATGCTTGCTGCTTCTTTCAGTGCGCTCGAGGAGAATATCTACAATCACATCACGGCGACGTATTTCCTGCTCGCGGAACGGAAATTACGGTCGAGTCGCTTAGGAGCAAAAACTCCGACAAGGGGTCGGAAACAAATGCTCGCTCAACCGCCGAAAGTTGCTCCCGGAACTATCCCGATCGTGATGAATGCAACGGCAGACACTTTGATGGTTCCATCAAGGCTCGCTAGGAAGTGCAGCATCGTACGTGAAGGTGAAGAGAACGATTCGCCGAGCCCTCAACCACCGCAAAGCCTAGCTCAAACGCCGGTAGGGAGAATAAATGAGGAGATTAAGAAGAGAATGCAAGAGAGGAGATCATAGCTTCATTCCACGAATGTCTCCTTATTTATCGAAGATTTTCTGAGACAACCTTGTTGTTGGGGGTGGGGAAAGATTCGAGTGCTCTCGAAACTTGATTCCCTAGATCCAAGACGTGACGCTAATCTCCGGCGGTCCTCCAGGTGCAAATCGCGGAGGTTATGAGTCCCGAAAGCGATGAAGATTCTTCTTCGTGCCATTTGACTAGTCAGGAAGCATCATCTCCCGTCGGCACGGTTCGCCAAATGCTTTCCCTACCAACGGGAGCCTCAGGATCACTTTCATCTCAACAGCTCTGCCCCCCGGGATCCATGGGGAGCGACGGAGATGAGAGTCAGCAACTCAGCCCAGCAGGTGAGCTTTGAGCTTCGCAACGAGGAGTAGTCTTTTGTGAGTTTTTGTACGGACCGAACGCTTCCCATGTTGGGAGCTACACTCCCACGCATTCATTTCCTGAGAAGCATTTTGAAAATGACAATCGCCTGGTTTGACATGCTTTTCTGAAAGTTTCCGAGCCCCGGAGCAACCCCGAGTCGTTTTTCCCTGCTGTCCTGCATTTCATACCCCTTTCCTGCAGGCTCCGAAACCCGGAAAAAACACCGTTTACATTGAAATCCGGGATATTTTTCTCGGATTTTGATGGAAATGTTTTTTCCCCGGGTTCCGAAGCCCGGAAAGACCCATTCCCATTGATATCCGAGCAAAATATCCCGGATTTCGATGTAAATGGTGTTTTTTCCGGGTTTCGGAGCCTGCAGGGAAGGGGTATAGAATGCAGGACAGCACGGAAAAACGACTCGGGGTTTCTCCGGGGCTCGGAAACTTTCAGAAAAGCATGTCAAACCTGGTGATTATCATTTTCAAAAAAGAATGTTTACTTGTGAGACATCTGGTTTCCCGCATTGTCTGTCTTGATGTTGTTTCCAATATTCGTTTCAGCAACCTCATCTATGCAGATTTCGATCTAATCCTATTTAGGATCTAAGCCAGAGGTCGAAACATAACACGAACAGAGTCTTGTCGAGGGGTATTACGAAAATGCTCCTCTCCCGTTTATAATGGTTGAACCGTCGTACTCGATTCTCGAAGCGAAGTTCCCAAATGGAAGAGCTGATTAGGCTGAATCGACTGGTTTCCGACGCCGAGACGGCTGAAATTCAGTCGGGGGGCGGTTCACTGAAGTTCTCCCGTCCGACGGGGAGTTTACCCCGCTCGAGCAACGATGCGAGAATGTGGCCGCCAATCTATTCCGGTGTCTCATTTCCCGACCGATCACTCCATCGACGCGAGAAGCGACGAGAGTCACGTGGTCCGGCCTGTCGAACACGAACGAGCAAGAAAGCTAATTCCTTGCCGTCACTCAACAGGCCAACCTGTGGGGCGTAAGTTGCACGCTGTAAAATCCAGTCCACAGCTTCTGCAGTCCACCGCCACTATCGCTTCGAATGGCAACGCGTCCAGAGCTCCTACAACAGCAGGTCACAACACGGCACCTCGACACCGCCGACTAAGCTGTTCGAGTTCCGAAGGTGAAGACGATGATCCGACATTCCGTCGTCTGGAGCGGAGCAAACAGGAGGAAGATTCGGTTGTCGAGGGTAAACGAAGAGACTCGATCGCAGCACAAATTTGTCGAGGTAAACATCTGTTTTCTTTTTTGTACGGGCTATTGCGTCGCAACTCGATTCGAACCCTCCCGGGAGGATTACAACTTCCGTAGCCGATTCTAAATTTGGAAAGGAGCTCTCCGCCGAGTTTTTTTCCGACGGCGCCGGCGTTCCGTTCGAGAAGAGTATCCGATAGTCGTCGGTCCCTCCGGGTAGATCGACGATGTCTCTAAGGGGGAATTCCATTCGCAGAGAGACGGGCGTCAGCGTTGTCCATAGCCACAACACCTCCGATCGCAACGCCTGAGAGTGAAAATCTACCCACCTTGAATCTAAGTCACCTCGTTAGACACGACTCTGTCCAGTTCATGGACAAGAGCGACTCATCGTCGATTCACGGCCCCGTCAGCGAACCACTCCGGGACATCACAAGCTCGAAGCAAATCCTCCCCTCTCCGACTCCAGTTCACCAAAGTAAATCCCTCGACGCTAACGAGATGTCGCCAAAGATTTCCAACAACAACAACGGCCCCCAGCTCAAGAATCGGAGCAAGCGACTGGTTGACGTGAAGCTCTCCTCGAAGTGCTGTAGTATATGCTAGAGCCATGATCGCAACGCGCCCGCGGCGGGAGTATGACCGCTGTGGGGGTCGTAGAGCGATGACGGGCATCGTGCGTGGGTAAAAACAACAATCGAATTCAAGAGAACCAGGTACCCGGTCCGGGAGTTACTCGGGTCCGGGTGCTATTTCGAATGACTGACGTCATTCCCTCTTAGTTTTTCAGCTGTGGACGGATCTGTCCAAGTTTACGGTAGTTAATCATATTCTAATTTGAACGTTGATCGATGCGTGACAAGCTGTCCGAAGGTGATAAGGCAAGAACTTATTGCGCTCGATCTAGATTCCGGCGGTGCAATGACGACGTCGTGACGTAGGATTAGTCCATTATCAATGATCACGTGCAGGACAGGATGCGAACCGCGTCGCTCCTCGGGGTCCACCTACGTCGAGGTCGAGCGGGCGAACGGAAAATTGAGATCATCATGATCTTGACTTGTAAATACGTCTGACGTGCTATTTGTACTTTTCGTATACGGCATCTCGTCTGTGAACGGGTTTCAGACCTGCGGCTTGCTCTAGGCCAGGTGACCGTTACCACTCACTTCTAGGTGCATCCTCTGGATGCTTACGATGGTCGTAGGCACGTTGTGCTACAATACATTTAGGACGTGAGGACGCTGTGGGCGAAGGCAGTCAGACTCGGGCCTCGTCAATGTTTGAACGGAGCTCCTAGGTTCGTCTGTTGATCTGTATGACTAACACATATGTTGATAGTTTATCTGAGTGATGATCGAGTGATGATGTTCGGATGCCGCTTTACACTGAGAATCTCAGCCGTCGCCATCGCATTCCGTATGTGCGAAACGGGTCCATTAGATTGTGTGTATCGTCCATACCACGCGAGAGTTCATCTCCCGCACTTATTTATCGAGAGAATTGTCTGGGATTGAGAGCGAACCAAGATACCGGAGGAAAGGAAAAATACTTTCACCCGTGCTCAGTATCAAATCAATGTGGCGTCCGCGGGTATCTCCACCGTAGAGCCAATCCCCAAAGCTCCAACTCATCTTGGATAGAATCGCGAGGATTCCTGGAGAATTCGGACTGAGGCATGCCTATTTAGGAAAAAAAAATCGGTTGCGGTAGGGAACCGAGGCGTCGGTGAGGGGATCACGGGCGGAATTGCGCGGCGTTGATTCATCAATTATTTCTCCCCGCCGGCTTCCCCGGAAGAATATGTCTGAGGGCGCTATATCCATCTTTCCAATAACGCTTGTTCAGGAGCATCGTCCAGCATCCCAGACGGAAGCGATTGTCCACTCTCGCAATCACTTTTTCTCATTCCGCTGTACTCCGTCAGAACTCGATTAATTTAAGAAGAGCTCTCCTTCTCTACCCTTCACTTCCACCTGTTATAGCGGTCCGCGAGCTTGGTGATTCCTCAAGCAATCGGACAGTGCTCTTGACTGATGGATGTAGACTGTACCTCCCAAAATCTCCGGCTCATCATTGAGGTTGCCCAAGATCTTGGTCAAGTCCTTCGGTTACCAATAATTACTCATCTGGCCCTCCGGTTCAAGGCGCAAGTACTGCGCCGATCGTTTTCCATCTCATTCGCTCACTCCCGATGGGAGGGGGAGAATTATTTTTCCAGAGAAATGGATACTTATATATACGGAAAGAAGACGCTCCCGTCGGCGTACATATGACTTAGGTTCAAAGTCATTCAGAGGGACATCCGCGCTTGTTTTTGACAATACTGAAGGGAGATCTAGTCATAAAATGATGAGTATGTGAAGCTTTCGGGTCCCGAGAAGACGTCCAGGTATTGTCTTCAAACTCCAGTCTACTTAAGAGTTCGTTCGACGCCGCGAGTGTACACAAGGAAGGTAGCGTCGAAAACCATGTTTGAATCATCAATAAACCACTTGAATGTTGTTCCGAAACACGCTAGAGTTCTATCATCGAGTGGGAATATTGTAGAGGAAGATTCTGTTAGGAACGGCTGATACGAAGGTGATCAGTGCGAGGGTAAACTGCAACTCATCCGAAGCACGAGTGCTGGAAGGCTGCGTCGCATGATGAACGTCCGGGCTGGGGTCCAAATAAACCGGACGCGGGGGGCAATAGAAGTCCTCTCCGCGGTCTCCGACAAAGTCATAATCCTGACGCACGCATTAGTCCGAGGAGAGCTTCGATCTGGAAAGCTCAAACGTTTACGGCTTGCCGGATTGAAACGAGTGTAAGCTCGAAGAACATCATCGAAGCGCTGATCACTAGGAAAAATGAAAACATTGGGGCCACCTCGCGGAGATCCTCCACGCTGTATCTATCGAGAGTCGCGTTGAACGCGATCAAGCGTCCTGTCATGTTGTTCTCCGAACGGATTCCCACCTTTCTCTGGTGACTCTCTCGCGCCTTTCTCTGGGTCACTGCAGCCTGACCTTTGGACGCTCGGCGTTGCTTGGCTATTCGATCCTTCCTCCGAACCGCGTCGAAGTCGACATATCTGGGCTCCATCAGGGCGTCCGATACAGTACCCGTCTCTTGCCAACGATTAATTGTCGAGCTGACCCTGATGACGTGCAACAGCATTTGACCTTTCCCTGACGGATCGGCCTGAACTGTCCCGTGCCTCTGTATATAGACGTCATTCCACTTCTTTCCTTCGTTGGGAGGTTCCCGCTCGCGCTTCGCCCTTTTCAAGGGAGGTCCGACCAGGGATCGTTGAACAGCGTTCATATCGTAGAAACAGAATCCACTAGAGATCTTCTCCGCCAAGGAATCTTGAGTGTAGCAATCAATTCGACCGCTACAAATGTAAGTTTTGTTACACACATTCCTCTCTTGCGGATTCAGAAGGTCGGACGTGATAGAACTCAAGTAAATCTGCAAGACGAGAAAGCTCAATGCCAAAATGGAGCCTGCGGCGATCATTTGAGAGGATTCTCGGATCTTGAGGCCTGTATCGAAGGGTGATATGAAATTCAAAGCCAGCTTGAGCATCGTTCTCTGGAGGCTCGTCACATCCGGCCGTAACAGCATTCGAGCCGTGAACACGAGGCTGATGAGATAGAGGATCCAGACGCTTAGATCGAATGTTTCAATCAGAGCCGAAGTATGCCTGTGTCGCCAATGAATCACAGATAGCAGAGCCTTCCCTCTTATATCCCTTGTCGAATATCGCATCAGCATGCTATGTTCGGCTTCGTCCCCGCCGATCCGATTGACCTCGATACGTATGCCGATGATGGTCTCGTTGCATCGAATGGAACCGTCGAGCCGCACATTCATCCAGCTGTTCTTCACAGGGAAGTATCGGAGGATTGATACATTTGTCACAAAGCACTTCGCCGCTGAGGGCAAACAGGTCGCAATGGATGCTCGTTTCCTCCAGAAGACCAAATTGTCGAAAGTTTCCACGCAAAAGAATTCCCACGAGTTGTTCCCGATAATTCGGAGTGTGCTGACTCCTGTCAAATCACCCGACCTCTTCCCGCGGCCCAAGGTGGCCATCAGAACCGAGTTGTGTCGGAAGATTCCGAAAGCGTTGTACATTCTCAAATAGGGCTCACGAGCTATGACGACGACCTTCATGCTGGTGGCGAGGACGTCGAGATAGAATAAGTACACAAAATGTCCCGCACTCAGATGGAAGTAACTCTCGGGTGTCCAAATGATCACACTGCCACGGAGTTCCAGTCTTCCAATGAAGTGAATATTCGTTAGCAATGTGACAAGTTCTGTTGGTCGAAAGCCCCTTCGCAGAGCGAATCTCTCGGCGAAGGCGAAAACGTTCGATAGAGGAAAATCCCCTATCGTGACGAGAGGATCTCTGGCGCACCCCAATCCGACGAATATCGAAACGATTGCGCACGGAAGCATTTTTGCTCGGCAGGTCCCCGCGGAGTAGTCGAGAGCAGCATATATGAGGCTCGGTATGAGCCTCGATGACGATGTCGTCAGGCTGTGAAAAGACGTCTAGGAATCTCATGCGTATTTCGATCTGAACGCTTCACTCTGAGGGAGAGATCACTCCTCGACTTTCTGATGTTGTTCGAGAGAGCTTCGTATAATTTCCATCTTTCGAGGCCGGATCGAGGCTCCTGGTGGACGGTGTCGATCTCCAGCGAGCGATCTCATCTGAAGCTGGGAAGGAAAGTGATCACCTTCTCTCGAGCGGTCAATTCCATCATCTCGAAGTCTCGGCGCGGTACCTTGCACGGTGCGAGGAGACAAGATTGCCGCTCAATAGTACCCATCCGCGAGACAATAGGCAGCTCTCCGTCGCCTCAAAATAGATTCATTCCGACTGCTCCCGGAGCAGGGAGTCGAAAAACTATAGAAAAGAGAAACCCGACTCCCGTGCGGACGAAGATTTCCCCTAGGCCATTGGAATCAAGCGGAGGCTTCAAGGAACAGCAATGAACAACACAATAAGCACAAACAACAACTATTGT